TCCCTATGAGATCATGGATCAGACCTTTAACTGTCACCGTCTTATCACACAACCCTCACATGATACGCGTTTCATGATTCTCCTCACCATTAATGTTGCACAGTGATCGTGCACAGTAACTATTCCACTTTATTTATCTATAAAATTAGTGAAAAAACATCATTTTCCTCTTTTCACTTTTTGAATTCTCAAACGCATTCTCTTCAAACTTCATCTCTTTCAAATCTTTCTCTACAACTCACTACAACAATGGCTTCCACTTCAAAAACATCCAAGGAAACAAGAAAGAATGCTAAAGACTCCAAAAAGTCCAAAGAACTTGCTCCATTCCACAGAATGTTGGGTCCAAACGTGGTTAGAAATCAACAGTACATTACCTTCAAATGAAGAGGAAAAATGCAGAATTTATCAATCACATGTATTCATTCCCTTTCTTGTAGAACATAAGAATCGTAATTTGCTTGATGTAACACACACCTTACTTCTCCAAGCTTCTATTTCATCCTGATTTTAGGTAGAGGCTCTTTCTGCGGTTGTCTTCTTAATAAATCATCTTCCTTATATGATTATTGATCTTGATTCTTCTTTCTTTCATTTTTTTAAAAACTTCTTGATTATAGTGCTTTACATGCTTTTGGATATGTTTATTTTGTTCACTTACCTCCATTTGAAAGGCATAAGCTTGGAGCACAGTATGTTCAATGTGAATTTATGGGGTATTGATCTCACCTGATCAGTAGTCTGCCATGCGTCCTGAATTGCTGCCTTCACCGGTGTTTTGGAGGAGAAGAGGGTGTACCTGCAAGGTACTCCGATGCTTAAGTGAGTAACGGAGCTTAGAAATAGCAAGTACAGAGATAAGGTGTCGTGAATGAGATACCTGACCCTCTGCTAAAAGAGGGTATTTATAGTATGCCCCTAGCACAGGGCCAAGGGTTACATTGTCTTGGGCTAGACAACCAGGCCCAACCCAATTAACTGCCAGAGCTTACGTGACGTAGTGAAGACTAGCACGTGGTCTTCTCCCTAGATCAACTGCCCCGTGATCTTCGGAAGGTGGGTTGACCAACTATTTCGGAAGTGGGTAGTTGCTTGATAATGTGTCCCCGCGTGGGGGGAATTTGGAGCCCGTGGGAAAAACGTGTAGGCTCTCCCCATGCAAGATAATGCTTTTCCTGACCAGTGTGCCTTGTTGAGGCTTATACCCGACAGATGGGGGACTAGGCCTTGTTGGGTCTCATTAACATAGTATTGGGTTGGGCCTGCTTGATGAGGGGCAGGTCTCGGCCTAGTCTAGAACATGTATAGTCACTCTCATAAGGGCTTTGTGTGTTATGATGTCACTAACCATGGTTTTCACATTTCTAGGAATGTGACATTTTTTTATAATCAATTTATATTTCCGTGTGTTTCTCCTACCGTAAATAATATTGTTACTCTTCGTAAGTTTTCTATTATGCCTCAGTCTATAGAAGGTAATAAACCAGGTCATGTATATTTCAAAAACACATAGAGCATGTTCCCAGACCTCTTCCCAACGTTGAACCGCCACCTAATCCTATACAAGTTGAACCACAACGTTCTCATTGAATACCTCGAGCACAAGATAGATATTCACCAGACAAGTATGATTCCTCACATACTTCTCTGACTGCCACACTCTCTAGCATATCTAATCTTATTTGCTACTCATAGGCTGTTAAAGACGTGAGTTGGATAAAAGCAATGAATGGGGAACTTCAGGCTCTTCAAGAGAATTTCACATGTGATATTGTCTCTTGTCCTCCTCATGTCAAACCCATTGGCTGCAAATGGGTGTATTTTGTGAAATTTTATTCTGATGGGTCCCTCATCCTTTCAAGGCTCGCTTGCGTTAGGAAACAAGAAGGAATATGAAATTGATTATGATGAAACATTTGCACCAGTAGCCAAAATGACAATTGTTCGCACCATAATATCTATAGATGCTTCTAATGGATGATCTCTTCATCAAATGGGAATGAAAATTTTTTTTCTTCATGTTGACTGAAGATATCTATGTGATACCTCCTCAAGGTTTTTTCTCTTCATCCAAGGGTGTTTGCAAGCTTAAACACTTCTTATATGTTTGAAACAAGCACCCAAAACATGGTACGAGAAATTCCGCTCCACTCTATTTGAATTCTCCTTTAGTCAGATTTGATATGATTCCTCTTTATTTATTCATAGCACATTTGCGGGTATTGTTCTGCTTCTTTTTGTTAGACGACGACACAGATCTAGAAGGAGGGTTGAATATATCACTTACTAAAAATAAAGTCGGCACTTATCAGTTTTTCATTTTAAAAAGTTTTTAGCGGAAGCGGTCGAGGAACAATAATTCGTCTAAACGAAGCGTTATCGGAAAGACCAGATATACGCAAAGCCTATGGAATATCAATTAAGACGAGATATAGAATCACTAGTTTGATCACGCATCAAATATATTTGGTTCACTTTATGTTTGAGCAGTTTTCCAATGTGCAAAAATATAACCAAATTTAAAAGTGCAGCACAAGTGATAATGTTCACACAATTGATCAAACACTTGGTGTGCACTACACAACAAGTGATTTTCTATATGTAGGTGGAGTGCCAAAGTTTTTTCCTTACAATCAAGGATTGTAATAATGTTTCTAAATTTGTTCAGCACTACACACACATCAGAATTTTGTTCAATTCAATTGTTTGCACACACACACACACAAAATTCCGTAAAGTAAAGTAAAAGAAAAGGACACCGATTTATTGAGGCAGTTCCCCCATCGTCCTCGCTCGGGGTACGTCTGTCCTCAATTCTAAAACTAGAATTAAGACCTTTATAGATAATCTGTTATAAAAAATGTTTACAAGAGAGGCAATTGAAATCAAACGATCAAACTAATTGTTGATGTAGATATTATATCTCTTCTTGTCTTGATTCAAGCCGAATCAAGTCATTCGAATATGATGAATAAGCCTCCGATTACGGCAACCCCGTTGAACAGCCCTTTGATCTTCAATCTTACCCGGATGACTTCAATCACCCACACTTCGAACCCAAATCCTTCGATCATGATCCTCCGTTTACCGCTACTAAATTGACCGAACACACCGTTTTTCAATTACCTTTGCTCGGCTGAATGTGTGATGAACTGATTTGTGCAAAACCCTCAAAATCCAAGATTCTTGGAGGACAAAACCCTCAAAGTTTTATTCAAGAAAAACCCATTGATTTCTCACCCCAAACTTGATTACCACAATCTTCCGTTTGGACGTTATAACCTTAATTCTGCAAAATACTCAGAAAAAATGGTTATGTGTAATTGTTGAGAAATTGCAAGAGAAAGGATGAAGATGATGAGACTCCAATCAATGTAAATTTTCACTTTTCTTGTTATATACTAGAATGAGCAAAACTCAATTTATATGTAAAAAACAATTAACCATAATAACAAACAATGTGAAATCACTACATAACAGAAATTCTGGTCAAAACGCGCGAACGGTGACCTCTAGAAAGGGGAGGGTCGGCCTGAGCTCTCCCGAGCGAAAATCTGTGCAGAAATCATCAGTTTGTGTCGACCGCCACAGGTTATGCGTTGACGCATAGTGCTTCAAAAAAGACAATGAAAAAATCAAACAATATGAGTCGACCGGAGGGTCGACGCGAACACCCCTGCTTGAAATCCACATTTTAATGCATGAGTCGACCGGAACATGCTATGAGCCGACTCATGGCATCAAAACTTGTAAAAATGCACTTTTTCTATGTAATTAGCCATTTTTGAAGGTCCAAACATCTTTCTAGCATGACCTACATGATCACACACATATGGAAGACATGTTTTACCATTTCTATATGCACCTACACAAAGTTAGATCAAATGTATAATGCAAGATAGATATGACATGTATACGCGCCTAGATAATACCGCCAAAAACACAAGTTTTAACATATGTATGTTTTGACATCATTAAAATACTTATAGTAAGGTGTGAGCAAGATTTATAGACATTTGAGACGCTTAGTTCATGACTGAATTTGTCTAATTGTGCTTCTTGCATATATAGTTAAGCTTCAAAATCATAGATAGGAGAATCAATTTTTCCATACATTTGCATCACAAAAGGACCGTACTCAACTGGACCAAATTGTTTTGTCTGTCAAATTTTCATAGGCATGCTTGCGTTCAAAAACCCTAGCAAGCAAATGTCCCATATATTCTATACGAGAAGATTTGAATGCTAAAGTAGCAAGCTTTATGTAAAGGATTGTCTTTTATTCAATCATATATACTTATTTTCAATCTATTTTACAACACAAGCAGCCCACACATGAAGAGGGATATAAACAACAAGGAACAGTTTCTTTGCTGGTACAGAATTAAATTTTTCTTTTGGTTCTAAGTTCAAACTAATAAACAGTAAAGACAATTTATCTTTTCCAGTTTTTGACAGTCTGAAACAGAATTCTCATTATGGATAGCTGCTTCTCCTTCTCAGTCAATCAACTTCTGCATTTTGCTACCATGGACATCCCTTTTAACAACAAAAGAATGAAAATCAGCAATGGCTAACAACAAACATTTATAACCAATATCATAATGAATGTAATCTTTAATTAGGATCAAGTATATAATAAAAAATTTCATTCTTGACGGTGTAAATTTGCCACTAACATTCAAGTTACGTTATTTGACAGCAGAGACAAGCATCTCAGAATCAAGTCTTAACCCATCAAGGAATATGAAAATCTCAAAGAATGACATTGTCTTGTAACAACAGTTCTGAATAACCCTATACACATTATAAACCTCGTAAGTCATTGTGAGCTAACAGAATTATATATATTCAAGATCATATACACTAACATATAAAGTTAAACAACTTTCTTGTTTAGTGGTATTAAAGAAAAGGGTACCTGAAACGGATGTGCAATGTTTCCTTCCCTTCCACTTGTTTATATTGTTGCAGTACTCCACATTAGTAGATGCTCAGACTCATTTTAGGTAAACAATATTTTTATTTTCCAAGGATGAGAGGGAATGCAGAGTGGATGGTGTTTCCAGGAGACGACCACAATCAATTATTACGATTTGTTTAATGGAAGGAGGATGGTTGGGCAAATGTCCTCTCAGTTCAGGACAGTTCCGCAACCTCAAAGTTTGGAGACAAGGAAAAGGAAATTTTCCACCTTCAAAGGGAAGCCATTCTTTCCAACTTGACATGTTTCTAAATTGCAGATTCTGTAGGGACGGAAATGGCTGGAATGAAGAATTAGAACCTTCTCCTACCATGCCATAGAACTCCGGGCCAATTGTCTTCAACGTCTTCATACCATCTATCCTTAGGTCCTTCAGAGAAGACAGCTGCCCTAGTGGTGGAAGTGTACGGCAATATTCACAATTACTGATGCTAAGGTACACCATGGAAGAGAATGAAGAATCTCCCAACCAACTTGGAAAGATTTTTTCACTATAGTAGTTAATACTCAGTTTCTTCAAGGTTATTGATGGTTGCAACATATCAAGCACGGCTAACTGTACTTCACAGTATTCAGTTTGCTCACCCCATTGTAGCACTAACTCCTCTATTCGTTGTTTGCTGTTTAAGTTTGCAGCAAATGCCTCCATGGAGTCAATGACATTATGCAGGTTCAAGATAGTAAGTTTTCCTCGTAAGTATTGAAATTTTCTGAGCTCTTTGATACTTAACCCGACTTGACTCTTACCCACTATAAAAACAGTTAGAGTTTGAAGTTTTTCTAGCTTAGTAATTTGCATTGGCATCTCTCTTATTTTCGTCCCACTGATATCAAGGTGACATAAATTGATTAGCATTCCAATATGTGATGGCAAATCAATGAGATGACAACAATTTGATAAAATCAAGGTTTGCAAATTGTAAAGGTTACATATCGTATCCGGCAAACTTTTGATTCCTGTGTTGGAAAGATCTAGATACCTCAACTGCGTCAAATTGCCAAGTGATTCAGGAAGCTTTTTGATATCTTTATACTTTGACAGCGATAACACATGCAATCTAATGAGAGTGGGTAAAAAATCAAAAAGCACTTGTCTAGGTAAGCAATTTTGTCCCCACAAGGGGCCAACTGGCAGAAAGGTTCGCAAACATTTGAAATCGTGAAAAATCTCACAATTCATAGAAATGTCAAGCTTTTCACGGTTATATGATAAATGGCGAACATTTTTAGAGATCTTAGTTCCATATTCAAGCCGACAACAACTTGTTCCTGCTACGTAAGTAGCTAGGTCCCTAATAAAGTCATGCATGAAAATTTTTTCTTCTTCAGTATCATCATTTGATTGTTGGATTAAGGATCTAGATATCAATTCATCAAAGAACTCATCACATATTTTCTCGGCTTCCTTTGAATCTAGAGATTTCTCAACCAATCCTTCTGCCATCCACAACAAAACCAGTTGCTTCCTATCAAGTGGATAATCTTTTGGAAAAATGGAACAATAAGTGAAACATCTTTTCAAGTGAGAAGGAAGATATTGATAACTCACATGCAATGCCGGCATGACATCATTTGCTGGTAAGTCCCAGATGTCACTGTTCAAAATTGCATCCCAATACTCTGCATCTAGATTAGTACGTAGAAGTCCTGCAAGTGCCTTAAGAGCTAGTGGCAGTCCGCCACACTTTCTTGCAATGCTCTGGCCAATATATTCTAGCATTGGGTCTACAGAGCCCCCAAAAGCAAAGACATCCTTTAAGAGTAAAGACCAAGAGTCTGACTCCCATAGAGCACCTAATGTATGAATATGTGATGCACCTGTCATCGTTGCAACTGAATGGTTACGTGTTGTGATGATCACCTTGCTTCCTGATTTTCCAACAAAAGGACTTACGAGATCAATCCAATTATCATATACTCTCTCCCACACATCATCCAACACAAACAAAAATCTTTTGCCCCTTAAGTTTTTCTTCAATTCAGCTCTGAGAATATGAAGATCATTGGTATCCCAGTTTCCTAAAGTGACAGTTTTTAGGAGACTTCTAGTTATTTCCAAAATATCAAAATCTAAAGACACAGAAGCCCAGGCTTTTAGATCAAAATGATTCTTAACTCTGAAGTCGCTGTAAACAAGTTTGGCGAGGGTCGTTTTACCCAGACCTCCGATGCCTACAATTGCAACAACGCCTAAGTTATTTTTGTCATTATCTCTTTCAGATAGCAACATCTTAATTAATTTCTGTTTATCGTTTTCCCTACCAACAATAAAAGATTCATTTACGGATGATATTGCAGTTGAACGTCTATAGGCTGTAGGAAGAACCTTATGACTTACCGTTTGCAAGCCAAGGTTATCTATCTGTTGTGCAAAAAGCTGCAGTCTCTCACACGCAGTCTTTAATTGGGAGTTGAAATCTTCACTGGTATTAAAAAGAGATGAAAGAAAATTCCACCCCGGATTCCTGACCTTGCACCGCAGAGAATCGTAACTAATTTGGTTCAGCAAATCCTCTGCGTCGAAGATTGCATCTTTTAACTCATCAAGCCATTTTCTGATACCAGGATAGTGGATCTGCTTCTTCTCAGCATCATCCAGCACAGGCGCAAGAGCTAGCAGTGCTGTTTGCGACTGCGTCACAAGGGAGAGACTTAGCTTATTGTTGTTGGCGTAATCTTGAAAGTCCGTTGAAGTTAGTTTGTCTATCATGGTTTGAATAGGTGCAGAGAGAAAGGCATCTCCGACAGTAGTTGAAGATGCAGCCATCTTTATGTTTTGATGAATGAATGTTGAATGAAGGTAAGGTAACTTGGAGAAATTTTCTCACATAATAAAAACAATGAAAAATGGTGGGAGGAAAATGTTAGGAATCTTTTAGTCAATGAGACAAAGTTAACCAACCTACATTATTTTTATATACATTTGAGCAGTCTTAAAAAGTTTGTAGTTGTTAGACTAGTGTGACTTATCTAAAAGGGGATTAATAGATACCAAGTTTAAACAAAATTTTATAAAACTGTTTTGAAAAATAAGGGTTAGTGGAAGTGATTCATATCGAATTGTTTAAATCGAACCGTTATCAAAAAATTCAGATATACGAATATGAAAATCAATTGATGATAATGATAAACAAGTCAATCAATATACTTTGAAAAACAATCACTTGAATGCTACTTAATTTTCGTTTAGAATTTCGAGCACCTTGTGTGCAATCAATTTCGTTTAGAATTTTTTATGGTTTTGTTGATTTGAAAAAGCAACTACAATCTAATAGATTTTAATCAACTTAACAAAATTGTTTTCAAAATGTTATCAACAAAAGTTTAACCAAATGTATTGATCGCATAATTTATGAATTCAACAATTTGCAATTGAAAAAATTCTCTCTCTCTCTCTCTCTCTCTCTCTCTCTCTCTCTCTCTCTCTCTCTCTCTCTCTCTCTCTCTCTCTCTCTCTCTCTCTCTCTCTCTCTCTCTCTCTCTCTCTCTCTCTCTCTCTCTCTCTCTCTCTCTCTCTCTCTCTCTCTCAGAGAGAGAGAGTACACAATAATTTGTTTAGACAGTTTCTTAATGGGTCTCGTTATGCGTATGTTTGCCCTTAATTTGAACTCGAATTAAGATAATCAATCTTACTTTGCAAATGTAGTTTTACAAGAGAAATGTAGCAATACAACCTCACAAACCCTTGATTCACCGTCTCACGCTACCCCTTTGTAAGAAACTTTGTTCCTCAAAACTTTCACTCGATCAAATTCAAATTGCGAATTGTTGTCACCCCAGATTTACCAATTTGATTCATCGCCTCACGCTACTCTTTTGCAAGAAACTTCGTTCTTCAAAAATTTCACTCGATCAAATCTAAATTGCGCACTTTTGTCCAAAACCTTCAAATTCGCAACTGACTTTGAAGGAAAACTCCAGCTTGGGTTTCTTATTTGAAACCCCCAAAGATTCTCAACCTAATTTACAATTCAACAATCTAAATTGCACGTTATCAACTCTAGTTCTAGATGACACCGAAACAAAAAAGGATTATGTGTAATTTATTTGTGTGTATGCATAAAACATAGGTTGAAGATGAAGATAACTCTTTGTATATTTCTGGTTTCATATATGGTTTTTCAACAACCATCATATATGAAATGATTCTTGTATGAAGTATATATATGAGTGTGTTTGTTAGAAGGTATTTTGGAGAGTGTTTTATCGTATCCATAGGGATTGTTGAGAATATTTTGATGCTTGTCGTTCAATATCATAGTGACTTAAGTGATGGGGTTTTTTAAATGGTTTCTTTTGGTTAACATAAGTTTGCAAGAAATAAGACAAGATAAAAGTTGGTTTTTGTTCTATAAAAAGCATGTCAAGATTAGGTTTCACTAATCCCTTTCAAATATATCCGATCAATCGAATATGTGAACTTAGTTTCAACCGATGTAATCACATATCCTCGCAAAACCGTTTATGTCTAAAGTGATTTCGTGAATATTATTGTTTCGACCGTTAAATGATATCTCGAAATGACACCCGAAACAATAATTGTTAAGATCAATACAATGTGAATGTCAACTCCCAAATCTATGTCTAGAGTTTGTTAGTTGATAGATGAAGAAATTAGGTAAAGACTTGAAAAGTTTATGTCTAAAGCAATCCAAACCATATATATAACAAAAGATAGCAAATAACTTCATCTACATTGATTAAACATTTGTTCACATACAAGAGATTAAAAGGGATACATAAAATTAGAATTAGCTACCTCTAATCTTGGCACAAGAGGGGTTTAGCCACCCATTTCCATGATAGCTTGAGCAACAAGTTTCGGAAGAAGGTTAATCAACATCCAAGTCGAGAAATCGAGATTAGATGGGAATCCACGTTCATTTTGTGAAAGATTGCTAAGAGATGATGAAAAATGGGAAAACTAGGGTTTCTTGCTGAAAAATGTGGAGTATGGAAACTAGTACAAAAGTTGGTGAAAAAGTTGGAAGTACAAAAAGTGGCTTCTAGTACTTATAGACATGATGTTTGATGTCTTCTTCGCACTACGAAGCTCTCCTTCACCTAACGAACATCCCAAAGTGGCACTTAAAGTGTCACTGAACAGTTAAACCTCCCTGAGGTATTTCCTCATGTTTGTTGTACGAACAATCCTTCGCAATGCGAAGTCTTCGCTATAAGCTTCACACAACAAAATTATGTTCAAATACTTACTGCCTCAAGTCTGGGGCTATTCGATAGCACCTCGCCCTTGCTTCGCTCCAACGAACCATTCGCTAGCTCCTTCGTCTAGCGAACTTTGATGTTTTTCTCTTCTGTTTATGAATAGTACTCATTTCCAAGGCATTTGCTGGCAAGTTCGCTCTGCGAACTTGTTGATGATTTTTGTTATCGTATCCGCAGGGATTGTGTGATATTACCACCGTTCTAAAATTGGACTCATTTTAAACATAGAACATAAAAAGTGGTTGGTTTGATTTCGTAATGCACAATTGCATAAAAGTTATAATTAACGATAAGAAGTTTCGGTTTTAAACGATTGGTAAAAACATGTCAAGATTAGGGCTCGATAATCCATTTCATACACATTTTCTTAACAAAGCATGTGAACTCATTAACCACAAATATAATCACAAATTCTCTCAATATGTTTTATCTTTAATCTTGACATACACATATCAAGAGAAATACATACAAAAGTGAGGATTATCTACCTCTATTTTGACACAAGGAGATATTTAGCTACCCATAACCATGGTAGCTTGAGCAACAAATAACAAACAAAGCTTTTGGAGCATAAAACTTGAAAGGATCAAAGATTGAAGCTTAAAAGCTTTGATTTCCAAGTAGAAATGAAGAAGATGACTTTTTTTCTCTTCACAAGAGTTTCTAGGTTACAAAAGATTTGTAAAAAGTGAGTTATCTTCCAAAAAGTGACATAAGATCCCTTTAGTACAACCACGTGACATCAACAGTGCAGAGAAGCTAAAAGAAAATATATGAATTCTCCAGGAAAAATACAGCTTCGCCGGGTAAAATCCTTTCGCCTCTCCTTCACCAGGCGAATCATCCAGCGAACCAATTCCAATAGCTACTGGAATCTCAATCTTCTTTCACTTGGTTCTTCGCCAGGCCTTCATTGGGCGAAACTCCCTTATCTCTTCTCCTTTGCCATGTGAAGGTTGTGAAGTCTTTGACACACGACTTTCTTCGTTTCTTTGCTTTCTCTTCCGATTTTTGCCGCGCTCTTTTTACAAAATATGTTGCAAAACTAAAAGATATATTAAAAATACCTAATATACACATTGATGCAAGAATCACTTAAAAAATAAGTTGTTTCACAATCAGAAGTAAGGAAAAGAGCTTAATAATGTCATAAATTGATACGAAAACCATTCTAAACTTGACACCTATCAAACTCTCACCAACTAGCATGTTTTTTTGCCCTTAATCAAAGGTAAGTTTCAAATTTCACAAGAAAGCTTTCAAAAACACCAAATCAATCGAAAAACATTCATGGTTCAAACTCGGCAATTGCACGCATAAGATATTTTTAATTACTTACGTAGAATCAAAACATGATCATGAAGTAACTTCTAAACACAACATCACACAATGCAAAATCAAGTACCTACAAGTTCAAGTTGAATCACCTAATTCACTCATTATCAAGCAGGGTTACGAATTCACACACACTAATAAGATGAATTGAAGCCTTTTTTGAAATGGTGGTTATTCTCATAGTGCACAAAAATTGTCTTGATCATTTCTAAGTTTCCAAAATTTAAAAACAAACTTGCAAGATTAAACATGAACTAAACGAGTAAAACAACAATTACTTGAACTCTATTTTTGGTGAACAATGGAAAGCACCTTACTTTTGTGGTTTTGTCCTAATTGATTCAAACATGAACAAGTATACAAAACCAAGGGTTATCATAATTTTGCATAAATCACTAGATTTATCATCATGTTATAACTCTACAAATCAATTTTCAATACCTTGATTGTACACATCAACAATAATTTTATCATCACCATCATATGTTTAAGACTGCCATAACACTCTTTATGACTTGTGCTAGTAGAAAAACTTTTTAAAAAATTAAGGAACAAAGACAAAACTAAACCACAATGATTTCTTTCCACAAACAAAACTTAAACACACTAAGAAAAACAGAATTTCATCATAAACCAAACTTAAATTTCATAACCAAAGTCATGGTTTAAACACACCAAAAATGTACTCTCCGAAGCGCTAAAATGCTACAACAACAAAATTTTGCCGAAACGACCCAAAATGCACTTACTAAAACTAAATCAACTGAAATAAAGTACTGAAAATAAATGACAAAGATAAAGATATTCTTCACTTTGTAGTCAAGCTCCTAATTAAGCAAATAATGCAACTCATCATGCATCTTTTCATCGCCATCACCATCACCATCAGCACTAGTCCACCATCAGCACCAGCTGCTGCCCCCTATGAAAAGAAAGGTCGCCTACCCACATCCCAATTTGCATAGCTGTTGTAATCCGCACGAGAAGGAAATGGAGTGACCTCCTGCGGAGTAGTATGAAACTGATACAACTGCTGCATACAATTAAAATTAAACTCTGATGACCTCTGGTAAGCTTCGCCCATCTCCCACGAATAGTTAAATGCCGCCCGCGCCCTTGGGTCCCAAGTAGAAAAATCAAGTGCCTCAGATGGCTCACTTTCCTGTGCTCGAGATGACTCACCCACATTTCCACCTTTCTTCTTTT